TTATTATATAATTACCAATGAAATATCTAATTTTCTCTATTTCTAATTTTCTCTATTTCGCCCCTTACTTCATTGATAATTATATGATAAACAGAATATTACATGACCGCTCGGAGATCCGCGCGCCCATGTAATATCCTCTAATAACATAACGTAACGTAACGTAACGTAACATAACATAACATTCATAGCGAAGCTCCTTCGCGGGCCTTCGGCTGGTAAGTATGGTGCTCCGCTCGCTCGAAAAACTGTTTCGAGGCTCCTTAAGAAAAAATGGTAAACCATCGAGTTGATTTTTCATGGCTTGGCTGACATCACTTTCGTCCGTACGTCCGTCTGTCCGTCCGTCCAGAGGGGGTTGGACACAGCGCTCGAAGCATCAAGGGACAAAAAGTAAAACTCTCTTTATTTGCGGCTGGACGTCGAGAAGTGAAGAGCTCCCGAGATAAAACTTGATGTAAACAAACAAGGGACACGAAGATTGTTAAAAGTTACGTTTATGGAAACACAGAAAGTTAGTAAGCTATTTTACGAATAATTTCTTACATACATATTCTCGAATACCCCTAGTTTTACGAAGTAAAGATGTTCGCACGAAAATGAGTTATCTCAACTCAAATGATAGCTAGGAATTTGCCTATTTTTATTATTTTTTAAAACAAGAATTGAAAGTATTACTAAATCCTACTACTTATGAAAACGGAATGCTGGCAGAATATGGGTTATTCAAATAATCAAATAAAAGACAAAAAATATTTAGCAAACAGCCAGTGAATTGGTTTCAACTGAGCCGTACAAAACACTAGAAGTTGAGAAAGCAAATATAAGTTTACTAAAACTCGTATGATAGGGACGAGATGGAAACTATGAAAGTATAATAGATTGTTGAGTGTAGTGGTTCTAGATTATCCCGAGGACTATAGTTAAGATGCGTGACGTTCAAGTTCTAGATTATCAGTTTATTCAGAGTTCAGTCAGTCAATGATTTCACAATTCCACGCTACAGGATTAATTTCACGAGTTCAGGTTTTCACGAGTTCAGGTTTTCACGAGTTCAGGTTTTCACGATTCGCTAGAATGACAATTGCAAAACCTTATATGAGAATATATTCTGTCCAAGAAAAACGGAATCAATATGCTTACACATATGTGCTGTCCTGAAGATAAAATCATTCGAATTCCGGATTCATTTTTTAAGAACCACAACAACTTGTCTACTCTTCCCTATAACAACTCTGTCCCATTCCCACGAGCTCCTTCTATCTCTCTCTCTCTCTTCCACAGGGAACCCACTTCTATCATGCATAAGCTATAACATTGAGTTTCGGCAAAGAAAACCTTTCTTTTAATTGAGGAAGCTACTAGCTTGTCCGCTTGTGTGTGCAGAGCCAGACGAGAGCCGGACACTGTAAGCCCTGCAAGTGTCACAGTTTTTATGTAAATTTCTCATGAAAAATTGGCA